TCTGTCCACCAAGGAACAGATTTCGGAAAAATTTTCTTTCTCGCGAGGGAGTTTTGTGCAGCCGTAATGATTGCGTCTTGAAGAGACGCAGCTGAAGCCTCAACTGCAGACTTGCTGTCAAGCCGGAGATCAAGAAGGAGGTTGCGTTTGGTTATTTCCAGGATCGATTGGAATTTAGCCCAATCGGCCCTGGATGTATTAAATCTGGGGCTCGCGGAGGCGGGTCCCATTATATAATGTCCAATTTTCATGGACCATCCAGCTTCCTATGGATCCGACGGTCAGGAGGCTTGACAGCGTGATATCTACATTGGAGGATCCTTTGTGGTTTCGAAATGTGGGCGGGTTACCGGGTTTGTTGAGGACTACTAGATTTTCCTGGGCTATAACCCATTCCAATTCTTCCCCTTGCGGGTCGGTTATGGTGCTGTGCCAAACCGAGGACTTCGCGTTGGCATCGGCAGCAATTATAATTCTCTGTCCGCGGATGGAGCGGCATATTTGCGAGATTCTCGCTAGATATCTTTAGATATCGTGCGAGAATTTGAAATATACGCTAGCGAGGTACAGTTTACCAAATGGTCCTGTCCAAATCCTGTCCGGTCTAACGGGTCTGGTCACCTCAAGAATTATATTACATGAATCCCTATCCTTTGGGCCGGACTTGAACGAGACCTTGGTCTGTTCCCTGGCAAGGTTCCTATCTTTCCGTTCAATATTTTGTGCTATTATTGCTTCAATTGTCGCCTGATCGTTCTCGGAACGCGGGGCGTCATAGATTATCACGCGGGGGCTCTTCTTCTGGGGGGCGCCAACCACGAAACCAGCTGATTTTATGTCGTCGTTTGCGGTTAGTCCCGACAGGTTGCTACCTCTCGTCGTCTGGATGAGGATCCCGTTATCGTTTATTGTTCTGATGTTCCTCACTTGGAGATTGGATTTAGCGGGCGACACCATTTTCAGTATCGCCTTCTTCGTTTCTTCGCTATTAGCGAAGGCTTGGCGATCCTTTGGCACGATGGTTATTACGTTCGGAGGGTCGCGCCTAATGTTCGACACCGCCGCGATTTTTGAAGAGATGCCGCAGTGTTGAGCCTAGGTTATGTATTGGTTAGGATTTGGGGGTGGCGCGGTTTTCGTGGGGTTCGCGGTGTGGTGGGGGTGCGGCGAAGTCCCGAAGGGGGAGGGCGAATGTTGGTCGTGTTTCGGAGGGCCATTATCTTGGATTACCATATAGTCTCTCGCCTGGAGTTAAAGGGGATGCCTGGACGGGGTTACGAAACCTGAGGTTCACGAAAGACCTGGCCAGGTACCCTGTCACTCCTATGGGCTCGTAACTCCTCCTTAGAAACACTCCTCTCTCTCTAGAGATGTATGTCTTTAAGGGGTGAACTTCGTACCCCACTTCCTGATAGCAGTCTATCATACGCTGGATAAAATCCAGGTCGACCGCCGCGAAGATAACATCATCCCCTTGTGCATAAAAGTGTTCCACTATGTTGTTTCTACCTGTCAACTTATCTGCTATCCTCTTTATTGCTCTGAAGCTGCACATATTGAGTATTGTATCAAGAACAGCCGTCCACCTCCAGCCGGAAGGTAGGCCATTAATCCAGGGAAACCGCTTCTCTCCGCACTTTACCACAACACTTTGTTCGAACAGAGAGGTCCACAGTGCCCCGTACACTGCCCGGAACTCCTTGTTTTTTGTTTTTTCGTAGATTTGGGCTCCTACAACGTGAAAGACCTCCTTTATAGTATCCTTACTTTGGTGTTGATCAAATCCGCCCTGGTCCAATGGCACCTTCCATAGGCTCGGGTTTCGTGCCGCGTTTATCAAGTCCAGCGAGCGCGGTCAATATTAGTTTGTGGGTGCTGGGACTCAACGTATTTCCTGCGTCACACAGCTGTTCCGCCACGGTCCGCTGTACCTGCTCCGTTTTTTCCTTCAGTCCGAGGGTGGACAAGGAGCTACCATCGGGGGTCACAGCTTTCAGTGTTGGCCTGTTCACTGGTTTTGCGGGTTCCGCGGCTTCGGGCTCCACCTTCTCCTCCGCCGGTACGGGGATCTTCGATACCGGGCGAGGTGAACTATCGGAGTCAGACTCCGTGTCCAGGATACGCGCCTTTCTTTTGCCTTTCCTGGCGCGGCGACATTCCTCTCTGACGGGAAAGTCCACTTCACTGGTGTCTGGAGACTCCATAGCGGGGGACCACGTCGTGTCTTTCTCCTCAGCGGCTGCACGGCTCCGCGTCGTCTTTCGGGTCATACTGCAGCAATAGGTGTTGTCGCCACGGCTGACGGCTCGGGACTGGATGGTTCCTCCCTGCTCCGGTGGCGACGCTACAGGTCGCTGGCTTCCAATATGGCCGTCCAAGATGGCGCCCGGTTTCACTATTTTCCGTTTTGTCGATTAAATATGAACAACCCGGCACAATTCGGTGAATCTAACACACTAGACTTGTTCTCTGCACTCGACCGCGTTATGGGAAATGGGGGTTTGGCTGCGACAATGACAGTGTTCGCAATACACGCGTTCAATGTTCACTCGCGTCAAGAAGGGACGCCGTCGGCCGACGCTAAACTTCTTTTATCGATAACTCCGGTGATTTTTGTCCGAGTTTCAGGCTTCTTTTATCACTCCACTTCTATTCACCTCCTGTTCGTAATACTACACTCTCGTAATTTTCCTCGTAAATTTAACCACGTGTAAGGGCCTCGAAATGCGGACCGACGTGACGACGCGTCCTCACTTTTCGCCACCTGGTCAGGTCAGGAAGCAGAAGCAAGCAATCGCCTTTTCTGCTTTGTCTTGGATGGTTACATTCC